TGAATAATAATGAACATGAGAATCTTTTAATTAAGTTGAAAATTTTTTATTTCATCGCAAATATTCCTTAGCTAGACATTATTGACCGCATTGCTAAGAACTTCAATTATTTTTTAAAACCAAGGGTTATGTATTTCGATGCGCTAAATCCGAATTTTCGGTCGGTGTGGCACGTAAACCCCCAAAATTTTGAGTAAATCTAAAAAAACTGTCAAAATGGTCGAAAATGGCAAAAAAAAAATGCAATTATGCAAGCGAAAAAAATTTTTTTGTGTGCCGGTGTTATTGTCTTAATCTTTTAATTTTTCATTTAAATTAATCTCTGAAATTTCGAAGAAAATCTGCTTCTAAAAAATGTATACGCCATGTCTCTCATTTCTTTTCTTTTACTTCTTCTTCTTTTTACCACAATTTTTTTCTACCGTTGAAAAATAAAACCGTCTGATTGGCTTATTAAAATTCAATCGAAAGTATTTATGAAGGTCGGGTGTAATATCGTGTCTAATTTAGTATACGATGGAATTAAAATATTTATCAAAACATTTATATTAATTCAGAAGGAAAAACCCCGTCCCATTGAGACAACCAACACCTGTGTCTTAATTAAAGTCGGTTTGACTTCTAGAGGAAGCTGGTCGTATTCTGTGCCCTTCGAGAGTCCGTCTGTATAGGTTGTTTCCCATGGGTGCAATTTGCTCGCCTTCTTCTTCTTCTGTTGAATACCACACTGCACCTTATGAACCTAAACCTTTGACGGCTGCTTGGTAGCTTCGATTTTAAAAGGGAGAGCTTTATAAATTGTTACTTTCATCACTTTGACAGAAGCCGGCCAAAACTTACTTTATGACGGTGACATTAATTGAATCATTTTTCATTTGTGCAAGATCTAGATACAACTGCTAATATAATATGGTACCTCGCAATCTAAATTTAACTTCATTTTTCAAATTACAGCAATTACTCATTCGTAATTGATGTTTGAAAGGACGGAATAGATGAGAAGTTCAAAGATTTAAAGTTAATTAAATTCATTTATTCTTTCTTTGTTCTTCAATTCTTACAATTTTCTTGAGAATTAATTTTCTTGAACGATAATTATTAGCTTTATGAAGTTAATTATTAATTATAAAGTTCCATTATCTTACACTGAAAAACAAATATTTTTCCATTCACAATATTTCTTATGCTAAAAAAAAACTTGGTATTGCTCTATGAACAATACATGGAATTTATCTCAACACTAGATGCATACTGCTCAGAAATTATTATAACCTGGCTTTGCTGACATAATTTAATTTTTTAATAAGTGTTAAAATTCATAAAAACTGAAATTATAACTGAAATAATACTTTCAGGCTGAAATAATAAAAGTTTATTTTCAAGCTTTATCAAAAATTATAATTACTTATAATGATTGTTTGAATTTATTTTCTGACGATATACAAAATACACTGGACATCAATAGCAAAGCAACACAACATACGCGGGAAAACTCGAAATTTACTACAGTAATACTGCACAGAGTATTAATTTCAAACTAAACTCGGCATTGCTCTAAAAATTTTACTTATTTTGACCATAAGAAAACTTGCTTGATAATATTTTGCATACTGATAGAAACAATACTTGTTTTTTATGGATGAATAATGGAATTGACAATAAAAAATTTGAAAAATTAAAAATGCCCGCCTAAAAAAAAAAGAAAAAAGAATTTCAATGATTGCTTTTCACAACTGTTACAAAAAAGTTCAGGTCGATGAAAAGTGCGATAAACGGCTTTTTCGATAGAATTTTCTTCTTAAAACCTTGCATTAGTGAATTGACTTTAAATTAAATCGGTTCATTGATAAATTTTCTCCACTATGCACTTTAACTCATTTTGTTAAAGTACTGAGTAGTAACGACTTCACTTAAAAGTAAATCGCTAAGAAATTTAAAGTTATCCATAAAGCACTTCTGTTCCGAGATTGAGAATTGAGGTGCGCAAATTCATGTAAACATTGATTATTTTCTCTACCATATTCTTTTTTTTCATAATCCTAAGTAGAAAGTGAAAGGAAACAAAAAAATAAACATAGACTTTCCTTTCTTTTATTTAGAGTAGACTCTAGTATATTTACGTCCGTAAAAAATAGTATTGATATTTCCGGCAAAACGTCCAGTTCGAAAGAAAGACGGATAAAAGTTCTTTAGTCTTTGATTTATCTAATATTTAGTTGAAAAATATTTATATTTTCCTCTCTCAAAGGATGTTGAATATGCAAAAAATAAAAGTAGATTTCTTCGGCATAATATTCTTTTCAAAATTTCACTCTTATTTCGAGTTATCTAGATCGATTTTATTAAAGAATTTCATGTTTTCTTTTCAATCAAAATAATGAATTATTTAAAACAAGTCTTAAATGTATTCAAAAATAGTTTGTAGGAAAATATTTTTAACTTTTCGCAAAAAAAAAATTGAAAATTAAGAAAAAGAGAGAAGTTGTTAATTTCACTCAGATTTCTGAAAATCACGCTTCGGTATATTTTTGACTGCTTTGATCACAAAGAACTCTAACTGAGCGCGAAGTTTTAGGGATGGCCTGTACGGTCAACCATTTTTCAGATTTTGTATTTTGTTTTCAAATGACGAAACTTTTTCTTAAATTAATTGTAAGAATACAAAATTCTTAAAAAAAAAAAAAAAACATTATTGTTAGTTTCGGTGAATAATGTTTTTTTTTTAAATGAAGACTTTGATTGTAAAGAGTGATAATAATTAAGAAGACGAGTTTCAAGACAAAATACTCTTGAATCATGATAACTGGTTCTCTTTGAAATAATGGAAATAAGTTTGCTCTGCGACCAACAATATTTCTTTCGGATCAAGTAATTTTTTTCAGCGTAAATCATAATAAGTTCAAACGGATTGTATTGAGATTCAGTAGAACTTTTTCAAAGAGTGGCTTAATTACGGCAATCAGATCAGTTAATAAATCTCAAAAACGGATTATACGAACATCAAAGTGCAAGAAAAAAAATGATTGATGAATTTAGTAATTTCGGTAAAAGCTGTACTGAAACAACGGAGCAGTAAAAAATGGAGCTAATCTTGTCTCTTAAATCGTTTCTATCCCAAGTTTCATCCACATAGACGGCATAAATAGGGTGTGCTATAATATAACGATAACGTTTCAGGCGTCGTTCAACCATCAGTCGAAAAGTAGCAAGAAATTGAAGCCGCTATTAGACTCCGGGTGTTGGATGTCTAATTCTCTTCCTCACATCTATTTGATGTATTTATTTATTTATATTTCATCCACTACATTTGTACCCTTAATTTTATAAAAAAAAAGTATTCAATCAAGTTGCAATGCATATGCTTTGAAAAAAAAGTTTCTTCGACGGAATATTGATGTTAATAACTTCTGAATCAATAAACTTAAGTTGTACAGTTCGTAATTGTAAGTATTCATTAGATTAAAAACTGCCTTAGTCTTAAAGATACTATAATTACTCAACCTTGCTCTACTTTTGCATAAAATGTTTATATTTTATTTATAAACTTTTAATTATACCGCAATAATTGAGTTTTGAGTTTAATTAAGCTATTATAAATGAACAAACTTTTCTTCTATGATAAATGATAATAAAGTTTCAAAATTTTTGCACTCATTATTAAAATGTTGCATAAGTATATAATTAGTTGCAAGGACCAAGTAGTGTCTAATTAGGTTCTTCAAAAAATAAAATAAAACTCTTTGCATACTTAGTTAATGTCAGTCTCTTATATCTTTATACTACCCAAGAATCCTCAATGAAAATATATTGCATGCCAAATAACGTACAAGTGCAATCAATTTTTTGTTACTTTTCCAGACTAGTTTTTTTTTGTTGCTCGATCCACTTTTTCTCTCTTTTACAACTGTATGTCTTGCGTGTTTACTCGCTGGAATTGCTCGAAGCTTTTTTATCATTCCTCGTATTTTTCATCTTGAAGCTTGAGTTTTTCACTTTAAGTTTAGAAAATCAGTAACTTATAATCGTTATTACTTTGATATTGAGTAATGTTGATAGAGCCCAAAATTTTTAGTTTTAAACTATTTCCAAATTTATAAAAATACATCAGATTTTATAGTTCGTATTTTTATTATGGCAAAAAATATTGCTAATAATTCTTAATATTTTATAATAATTCAAAAACTAAAAGTCCTTTTCGATGATAGTAAATACTCTTTAATAGAAAATTTCAATTTTTCCTTTCTTTAAATCCAGCCTCTACCATTTAACCCAAAAAATGTTGTTCGAAAAAATTTTATGGACGTTTCATTGATTGAAATTACTTACAATACATCTTTAATAAATCAATGAATTGATTGCAAAGTTCGTATCGTATCAAAATCATTTACTAACAACTTTTGCTTGTGAAAACATTAAAAATCAAAAATAATTGAGAAAAACTATGATCTAAACAATTCATGTTCAATATGTGCAGCTTGGCTTGTATCTATCAATCTACTTCTCTATCTATCTAACGGAATTTTCCGACGTAATTTTTATCGACTTTAAGACGATTGATTGATTTTGAACTTTGCGCGCTTATCAAAGACCGATGACAACACAATAATTAGATAACTTTATCCAAATATCCTGGTTAAGATTTTCAGGATAATAAAGAATAACTTATTTTACAGGTTAAACTTACATCACTCATAAAATAATAGTGAATATTGTTCTTCCTTTAATTACATAAAATATTACAATTTAACGCTTCTAGTTTTCAAATATACTTAAAATTTTAAAAATTAAGTATAGAAATAAATTTTGAATAAATTCCAATTAAAATAAGAATATAGTAATTAAATACAGTAAAATGAACTGTTTAGTTAATTACTCTATTCTTATTTCAAACTTATTTAAAACTATTTTCTGTTTTCAACATTGGATTGTTATTGAACCACATTTTAAAGTTTTAAAAACTATAATTCATTAATCAATATCAAACAGCACCTTGTCTATTTCTATGCGTAACTACAACTTGATTCATGAAGATGTCGCTTACACGGTTCCACCATTTCTACACAACCGTGCTCAGCAAATCTGCATTTCTCTCTACGATAGTTGCATTTTTCTTCATGAGTCAGTTTCCTGCAATACCGTGGTTCAACTTGGCACCCATAAACAGCCCACCGACAGGGAACATGTGAATCAGGATCAACTTCAGGTTCAGCGCAGCTTATACTGCACTCAGGAAAATCTTCATCGTCATTTTCGTTATGATACTTCCGATAGTTGCATTTCATTTGATGCATATCCTTCCTGCGTCTCGGCATCTTCACCATGCAACCGTACCGATTAAACTTGCACTCAACCATTTCTTCAGGATCACCATCTTCAAAATGAAAGGAATCAAAGTCACGCTGGATGTCATCCAGCGCATCCAGTCGATCTTTGTATATACACAAGTTTTCATGCACTTGCTTTCGCCATTCTGGCAATCTTACGTTGCAGCCGACAACGCTGTATCTACAGCTTTCCAACTCACCCTCTTCTGTATTTAGGTCAGTCGGAAGATGTTCTTCTTCTAGATACGGACGAAATTGGCATCTTGATTCATGTAAATCTCTGAGGTGCTCGGGAATATTGGCGTAGCAGCCCAGATATGAATATTGACAAGGAAGAAGTTCTTGGTCTTCCGTTGGAGGTGGAGGGCTCCAATGATGACGTTCGTTATCAATAAATGGTGCAGATGGCCTCGGGCTGTAAATTATTTATTAGCAGAATAGGTTATTTTGATCACAAGTCATAGCTTATAAGTTATAAGTTTTGTTATATTATTTTGTAGGAGCTCACATACTTGGGAGGATATGCTGGATAAGGATGTGGCATGTAGTGCATAGCTGGTGGCATGTGAAATTCATGGGTGAATTCTTGAGATGACGTGTCAATATTCAGTTCTGATCGACATGTTGGGCAACAGTGGTAATAAGGCTTACACCGGTGACAAATAATGTGTCCATTTGTGCACGAGTATTTGGATGAACTACTTATCTCCATCATGCAAATAGGGCACACACCTTCGCTCTTGAATTTTTCGTGAAGATTCGGGTACAGGTTCTCCATGATCTAGAAAAATTTTTTAGTTTTTAAATATATAATGAATTTTTTAACATCGCCCTGAGAAAAAAAGTATTGAGACAAAGAAAAAAGTATTGAAAAGAATTGGATTGACTAGAAAACCAATTCTTTTCAATACTTTTTCCTTTGTCTCAATACTTTTTTTTAATCAGGGCAAAGATTTTTATTTTTTAAGGAAATTTTCATCAAAACGAAAAAATGCGCGCGCCTAAATTTTAACCAATAATGAATCATGGCCCGTTTTTTTGCGAGTTTCGACCTTTGACTAACTTCAAGACTTTCATGTATTTTAATTTAGAGGATAATCATTTTACGCGCAATTCGTCATTAAGTCATATTTGTTTCAAAATGTGAAATTCATGATGAATCAAAATACAATTATATACAAGATCATGATTCATAATCGTGCTGAATCCGATTATGATTCATTACAATTTCAGAGTAATTTCTATAAATCCGTATACATTTATTATAAATATTATCTATATTCTACAAGGGCAAAAATTGAGAGAATAATTTTAAAGATTACTAAGTTAAATATAGCATAGAATATTATAAATTGTACCTATTAAGATTTTCTTAATGTAATCATGAAGTTCAAAACTGACAACTTTTTGGGAGAGGTAGAAAAAAGTTGATTAAAAGTTAATGGTTGCTTGAAAATAATATTTATCAATTATAATGAAACCAATTAATCGGATTGTATTAACTTTTATTCTATTTTTTATTTTGCGAATTCGATTATTCAGGTGATTATCGCGTTCACACGATTCTTATCAATGATTTATTGACCTCAGGCATTGCAGATGTAAATTAATATTAAAAAAAATTTTTCCTTTCTTTCTCACAATTTTATTTTTCACAAAAATGCTTAAAATAATAAACTTTGAAATAAACTTTTAACTTAAAAATCTTTGATTTAATTTTTATAGAAAGCCAAAATTTTTGCTTCACCGAGATATTAATAATCCTTCAATTGTGTAATTTCCAGTTTTCAACTGTAAAAATTAGTTCTATATTTTGTTTAAAAAAAATATTTCAACTCTTACCGCTATTTGTTTGTTCCAAGAAGAATAATATTGCTAATAAAACACTTTGAATATTCCTGTCGCGTGAGAAAACTCCACGTCTCTGTTCACTTGCCGTACGTCAAAGTCGAAGTACTCGCCAAAATCATATCTGTAAAGACTGATAACACGACTTTATCTGATAAAACTGTTGATCGTGACGTGGATTGTTTACACAGCTGATGGTAAATACATCATATAGTATTTCTGTGTGTTGAGGCATCAGAGTAGTCTGTCTACAAAAACTTTTTATATTCATTGATATGCGTCATCCGTATAATATTGGACGAATTTTTATTCCATGATTCTATGGACTAAGCATTGATTTATTCTTTCAATACTGGTAAACAAAAATAACATCCAGGTATTACTTTGTTTTTCTATTTTTTGTTCGTCATGTTCTTAATATTTTTGTTTTCTAAATTTGTGGTTTTAAATTTATAATTAACTATCAAATAAAAATAAGAAAATTTTTATTTGGATTTTATAGCGAACCAAATAAAAAAAGATATCGACGTTGCACAGACCCTGATAATTTTCATCAAATAAAACGTATTGGTTCGATATGTAGTTTTATGTTTCTTGACATCGATATGAACTAGTTGGTTTCAGTACAGCAGTGCAGGAATAATAATATAATACGGACAAGAGCGAACTCGAATGAAAGCGAAGACAAGGTATGTCACAAGAAAATTCGACCCGAGGGTGCACGGGTGTACAAGTGAAACCAAACGCCCAAGTGATACTCTCAGTATAATGTCTAGTGATGACCCTCCGAGTGTTTCAATCCCTTTGGAAATGTCACATCAAAGATACCCGAGTGTGTCTCATCGGTACATTGGCATAATGTTGGTTGACAATAAGTTGCTTATTCAAATTTGGTCTGAAATTTAATTTTTGAATTATCAAATGCATCAAATTGAAAACGTACAAACTCACTTCGGTGCTTTTTTAAAATTAGCTTTTGTTTTGACTCGGTTGTTTTATAAAAAAACTTAGGGGTTTTAGCATGTTCTTATCTATTATGAAATAAGAATAGGTAATTCGAATTAAGGGGGTATTCTAGTCTAGAAGCATGAAATTTCAGGTAATTTTTAAAGTGCCATAAAAAAAAGACAATCAATATTTTTACTATCCAATTTTTTATAAGTTATTTATTAACATTATAAGAATACAGAAAAAAATAAAAAAATGAAAAAAGTTGAAAATTCAAAAAAATTAGCAGCTGATGAAGTGGGGGTGTCTCAAAAAATTGGCACGTGACGATACCCACGATTTCCAACCCTCCTAGCAATCGGAAACGAAAAAATAAAAAAGATTATTAATCTAGAGTAATGTCGCTATTGTCGGAACTACGTAAAAGTTTAAAAAAAAATTTTTAATGATAGAGATGATTCATTAGTAGAAATAATTATCTCTTTCTTTAGGGGGTATTCTGGTCTAGAAGCATGAAATTTCAGGTAATTTTTAAAGTGCCGTAAAAAAAAGGCAATCAATATTTCTCTATCCATTTTTTTATAAGTTATTTATTAACATTATAAGAATACAGAAAAAAATAAAAAAATGAAAAAAGTTGAAAATTTAAAAAATTAGCAGCTGATGAAGTGGGGGTGTCTCAAAAAATTGGCACGTGACGATACCTACGATTCCAACCCTCCTAGCAATCGGAAACGAAAAAATAAAAAAGATTATTAATCTAGAGTAATGTCGCTATGGTCGGAACTACGGTCATCCCCAAATTTAATTTTTACTATTTTTAAAAAAATTCGAAAAAGTCAAAAAAAGTGAGAAAAAAAAATTTTTTTTTCAGGCAGTCGCCATTTTGTGAAAAATTTTTTTTTAAACTTTTTCGTAGTTCCGACCATAGCGACATTACTCTAGATTAATAATCTTCTTTATTTTTTTTTGTTTCCGATTGCTAGGAGGGTTGGAATCGTGGGTATCGTCACGTGCCAATTTTTTGAGACACCCCCACTTCATCAGCTGCTAATTTTTTAAATTTTCAACTTTTTTCATTTTTTTATTTTTTTCTGTATTCTTATAATGATAATAAATAACTTATAAAAAAATGTATAGTAAAAATATTGATTGCCTTTTTTTTACGGCACTTTAAAAATTACCTGAAATTTCATGCTTCTAGACCAGAATACCCCCTAAAGAAAGAGATAATTATTTCTACTAATGAATCATCTCTATCATTATCTCTATCTTCTATGAATCATTATTTCTATTAATGAATCATCAATGATTGAGAATTCCAACAATACTAACTTGATTTTTGTCAAGATTTTATCTACATGTAAACACTACTTGGTAATTGATATCTTGATTGTATTATATAAACGTATGAAGTTACTATTAATACTGCTATTACCTTGTTTTATTTATGGATGAATCAAAAATGTTTTTCGATTGATAAAAAATTGAATAAGATTCATAAGATTTTAATTATCAAAAAATCAATAAATACAATGTTTACCTCCAAAATTTCAAGTCGATTGACTTCACCATTTTTGACACGTATACGTTTGACACATTGATTTTTAAATATGCTTCTTATACATATAGATAGAGGTGTAAGAAGCTGATTAGGTTAGTTAGCATTAACGATGCTCGTAATTTTAGATATGTAGATGATGGTAATTTTTATAATATATCGATCAAAAGATTTTCTCTCTAACTAATTTATTTACCACATTAGGAATTTAAAATTATAGCGATCATATATTAAAACCCATTATATAATAATTATAAATATAAAATTTTTTCAAGTGAACACTGAAAATTAAATTGTAGAATATATTCTCACTTAACACAATTAACTTATAAGAAAACTTCCTTTCTATAAGTTAGTATAGATTTATAATTAAATTTTTTTTAATTGTAAATTAATGACTTTTTCTATTAAATTATTGTGTTATTGAAACTAAAACGTCATATTTGTTTTGTCTGTTTTGATGTTTTTTTTTTTTTAATTTATATATTTACTTATGTAGAAGGTAGATTGAGAAGCATATTTGTGAAGTACTAAAAAATGTGACAATGCCGAAAAAAAATTTTTTTTTAATTTTATGTTTTGAACTGGGACAGCTGCTCTATTATTATTATTATTATTATTATTATTATTATTATTATTATTATTATTATT